TTGGACGCATCCCGCGGTCTCACAGCGTACGCGGACCTGGGACGCGGCTGTCAACATGGAGACGGTGACCGGTGACCGGTGAGGAGCGGGGAGCCGCAGAGGGGCAACGTGTGTCAACCGCACGGCTGTCTGCGCACCACCCAGCCCGCCGCTGGCGGTATGGCCGTCGCATGCTTGCATGGATCCAGAGTGCACGGTGCACGTCTCGTCTTTCGCACGAAGTGCAGTACAGCACGCCTCATCCACGGACGGACGTCTATCTGATAGCCAGCCGACGATGCTCGACCAGCCGTTTCAGGTGTTCTGGCAGGCCACGTCTCGGCTGCTGGCCAGTGCCACAATTTCGGCGCACGCTGCAGTGTCGTACGGCAGCGGAGCAATCTATAGCGGCCAATCATCCCAGAAAGGCCCCTACGTGGGCCCACGGGCCCCGTCAATGCCTGCACAAGAGCGACAACGCCAAACGTGGGGGAGTGAGATGCTGAGGCTGTCCCGCAGCAGCGAATTTGAGGGACGGCGGAGTGTCCGGCGACCACGCTGGACATCGCGCAATCCGAGGAGGGTGCACAGATAAGCTATCTCTGGTGCACAACTGGTGCATGTCTGGTCTTTGTGGGCGTCGCAGTTATGATTACCGTCCCAGGGGTCTGCCGATGCGCTAGCGCAGCGCGGTGTGTGGATTTCCGGAGGCTTATTCTGCTCGTTTCGACCGCTGATGGGCCCGGCTGCAGGCGTCACGACGAGATGGCGGTGACCAGCGCCGTTGGGCTTATCGGCGCGCGACTGCGCTTTGTAAACTCTTGTCACCACTGCGTGCGCATGGGGTGACATTCTGTGCACCTTATTTCAAGCCAGCTTGTTAGGTGCAATACGCCAACGACCATTTTTATTTCCTAGGTCTGGCGGTCGATGACGAGAAATGACTAGGTTGAAGAGTTTGCGCCATCCTTGCGTCGACGATGGGGGCGCAGCGTCGAAATTGGACGGGGTAAGCTGGGCTTCCACCGGCCAGACAATGCCAATTTATTGGTATTTCTTGGATCCTGCTATGTAAGCCGATCTTAGCACGATGTTCTGCGGCTCAGCATATCTTGAGTATGTTGGATCCGAGTTACCCATGAATTCTGAACGACGTCGCCTTCACATACGGTCGTTCATGCATTTTAGGCCGTGAACTCTCTCTCAGAGCCTGAAATTCTGAAATTTGCTCGTCAAGTTCAATGTTTATATGTTTCGCTAGCCACATTACCATTACTATTGTTTTGAAAGCAGAGCTCAATTTGCCATCAGCTGTTACAAGATCACGGGAATGTGACAGCACGCGAGAGGCCGGCAGACGGAGTCACGCCGATCCTTCTTCAAGTTCTTGCATGACGGCGCTATTCAGACTCCAGTGTCCTACCACCGGCGACGCTCTTAAACGAACTCGGGACAAGGAAGAAGGCATGCATTAGGTCGGTCATTGTACATACTCGGCGAGGTTCTGAGTCTAGGGACTGGAATTGACGTCCCGACGATTTGATCATACTATAACCAAGTGCTATAGGCCCTGCTAGATGAGCCGCATGTACCAGATACCCCCTATTCAGACACAAGGTGCAGCCCAAAACCAACTACATAATGAATTGGTTGCTGATAACAGCGGTGCAGATCGCCAGTCTCATGACGCTGTCTTGCTATTTGCCCTCGACTGTCTGTGATAGGACACGCAGATCTCCTCGTCGGACGGAAGTGCGAATCATTTTGGGCGAAGTACTCTGCTCGACGCACCAACTAGGGAGTGCCGACGTCGGAGCCGGGCGACGCCCTGTGGAGCTGCCGAGAACCATTGATCACTGCCCGTGCATCATGCCCCCGCGCGCGGGCGCAGCCTTGCGGCGGCTGGCAAAGCGCAGTGCGTCCGAGCGCGGCGTCTTGCCGGTGGCAGGCTTGTCAGGTCGATGCAGGTTGGATTTGCGTGTTTTGCGCCCAAGCGCGCGCAGGGAGATGGGTGTCCCCGTGCATCCGCCGTCCACCGCTCGCCCACGCGCGTCGCCCGCGCCCTGTCTTACGATAGAACCCGTCAACCTCCTGTGGCAAATGCGCGCGCAGGACGCCATCTGGTGCTAAGGTGCCACTCTGCTTGCGCCGTGGCGCCGGCTAACGCGGGCGGCGTGCCGGGGAGCGCACGCAGATCCGGGGCAATCGTGCCCGCACGACCGGAGCGGCGGGCGCGCTCTGCGCTCGGAAGGGACACGGTGACACTCACTGGCACCCCGGTGTTCGCGGACTCTTACGTCGCGCTAGTCTCGGTCCAGGCTCGAGCCGCCGTGAGGTG